CTTCTCTTGACAGGGACTCCTCTGCTGGTCTTTTCCACTTGGGCACCGAGTCCTGCTACTCTTATTTGGGTGCTATCCTGACACATATCCACCAACTCTGCCTGTTTTAGTAACATCATCTGTGTTACTATGGCAGCCTCTTTCAGCTGTCTTGTTCTCAGTGTTGCTTCCCTTCTACACCCAATTCACTCAAGTTTCAAGCTCAATACTTTGCATGGTAACAGGCAAAGGCCTACCTTTTGCCCTCCACATCCTCAACAGAGGCAGGGATATCGGTCTTGCTCACTGTTCGTGTTGAATCACTATATGACTTCTTGCCAAACAGGAGATGTATACTGACTACTGGGTGAAAACATGATAATTTCCTAGTCTTTCCTTAACCAGAGCTCTCAATTGGAACCCTGAAGTCCTAAGGAAGTTACTTTCTAGACTATCACACATTGGACAAGAACACATGGCCCTTCAGGAGATATCCAGAAATTGATGAAAAGAATCCATTAAACTGGGCACTAGTTAAAAATTTATGCATCAATTTTCTTATAAAGACAACATGACAGGGAATTGCCCCTTCCAGACCAAATAGAAAGAAAGAAAGGAAAGGAACCAAAAGTGGTAATAAGGGAATGGGCAGGTTGCTCAGTAGGTAAGAATACTTGCTCTACAAACATCTGGACCTGAGTTCAAACCCCTAGTAAGCATGTAACTGTGTAGCCCCACATTGTCGACAATGAGATTCCAACTTACTGACAGACTTCATCTCAAGGTAGCAAGAGGGAAAGTGGTAGAAGAAAATATCTAGTCCTGCTCTACTCTCCATTTGCATATGCACAGGCAGCTCATCAGAACACTTTTGTGCATGTACCACACACAAGCACACACACAAAATTGTAATCAAAAGTTAAGTCTGAGTGGCAACTTCAAAGGTGTTCCAATCATAGAACAAAGCATTGGACAAAATTAACTATGAGTTTTAATGCCTTCCCTGCTAAAATTCATTTTTTACAACTAGGAGTAACAAGAAATTGCCACCAAGCCTGAAATATACGATAATCAAATACTCTGTCTATTTACATATGGTTCTCCGAAGCCATTCCTGATTAAAAACTGTACCATTTCAATCTTCCTTCTAGAGATATCTATTAGCTAGAAATGCATGTGAAGTCCAATAAATTTAGAATATAATTACATGTATCCTATACAAATTGCTTCTCAATGGCTTCTACTCATGAAAATAAGAGCAAAGAGCAATGATCAGTTCATTATAAATCTACAGAAGATTCCCCAGGAAAAGGTAGTGAGAGCAAGTCCACAAAGACTTTAAGCTGCAGCTCATTTAAGTTCAGCAGAAAATAATCACTTCTGATCTGAGCTCCCAGTGCACTGTGGGAAGCACTCCATGGGTAAGCCACACTCCTTGACTGGCACCCTCACTAAGTAATGTAGTTCTAACCACTTGGAGGCTAGAACCAAGGGATTCGCAGAGTCTCAAACAGATCCAACGTGGCAACACTCCACAATCACAATCTCAAGATCAAAGCTAACCTCAGCCAGTCTGTCAAGGCAAGGAGAGATGGGACAAGTCCTTAGGGCCCCATGCTGCCCAGACTCTTTAGCAATGACTCACATCTTTAATGCTGAACACGTTAAAGGGCAAGAGAAACAGTCCAGTTTCGATGTTTCCACATGCTGTAACCTCTCTAGCCCTACTGAACCCTAAGCAGGACTTGAACCCAAAGGCTCCCTTAAAGTTCACCCTTACCACAGTTCTAGCTGACATAGAGGCCAGAGCTACATACATTTGTCACTTGGAAGAAATACAATCACTGGGACATTTTAAGGCCCCTGGTTTGCATGTCACCTGACCCTAAACTACACAGACACAGAGAAGGTTAGAGAATGGCTCCACTTCACAGACTACATTCATCCAACCCCCTCCAGTCCCCAAGTGTGTGTACTGGAAAGTATAAGCATGGAGGGGAAGCACAGACAAAAGAGAAAAGGCAACAGTACCAGAAAGGAAGGCTAGCAGAATATTCCCTTAACCACTCTAGAAACTGGAGTGTTGAACATTGTTAAAAACCCTCATTCCTGAAGCAGCTAACTGCTCAGATAGGAAATGCATATCCATAAGTCACACAGCTTAGGAATCCACCCTGTGCAGCCAAAGGTCTCTAGTTCTGCTCCTACTAGCTGCTAACAAGTGCCCAGTTTCCTCATCTGTTAAATTCAAGCAGTACAAGAACAGCTATGCATCCCTTAACAATGGAAATGCACTCTGAGAATTTGATACTTGGGATTTTTATCCCTGTAGGAAAATCACTGAGTGAAATCTGCCAAGCACAGATGGTACAGATCAACCACTTCATACAGCCTCTTGATGCACTCAAGAGACAGTGTAATACGAGTTCAACGAAGCAACTGCCCATTTACCACAGCATAGAGTTTTGCAGGAACTTTCTTTTTAATAAATAGAAGACACACCAAAACAGGAAAAAAAACAAAACAAAACAAAAAACCAACCAACCAACCAACCAACCAAACAAACAAAAAACGATAACCTAGAAAATGCCTGACCCACGCAGTCACTTATGATCATAGGGGTATGGACAGAAGTGGACATGCTATTCCTGCAAAGCAGACGGCACCACAGGCTTGTTCACATGTATTAGTTAGTAACTCAATGACTGTGATACTACAAAGTCACTAGATAATAGAAAATTTTCACAGCCATTATAAGTTTATAGAGCTAACATCATATATGTGGCCATTGATCAAAACAGCCTTCCATGGAGCATGACAGCACTTCGCTTCTACTTTCGTCACTGGTTGTTGTGAACAAGATGAAACTGGCTAAAACATGTGAAGTACTTAAAGTGTCTGGCCACAGCAGGTGCTCAGGGAAGTGCTGTCACTATTATTTGATAGAGCCTGGCCATTTTGGAGATTAGGAGAACAAAGGAATTATACTGCTCTGTTCTTATAGACTGGAATCCTATGAGCCTCTCTTCCAGTTAGTAATTGCGCATAAAAATATTTCTTTAAAAGTTTTTTGTTATGATTTTATTGTTTATATTCTCTCTCTCTCTCTCTCTCTCTCTCTCTCTCTCTCTCTCTCACACACACACACACACACACACACACACACACACACACACACGAGCGTGTGTGCATGCGCACCTCAGCCTGTATAGGAGGGTCAGAGGGCAGTTTGCAGGAGTCAGTTTTCTCCCTTTCACCATGTGGGTCCTAGAGACCAAATTCTGGGAGTCAGACTTAGCAACAGGTGCCTTTACCTCCTGAGCCATTCTACTAGCCCAACAATTCTATGTATATACAATTTGCATTTTTACTCTACCAGTCTTAACCATTACCAATCATAGATGCTTCATAGATGCTGTTTGTTAAAATTTTAGATTCCGCCGGGTGTTGGTGGTGCACACCTTTAATCCCAGCACTCAGGAGGCAGAGGCAGGCAGATCTCTGTGAGTTCGAGGCCAGCCTGGTCTTCAGAGTGAGTGCCAGGATAGCTCCAAAGCTACACAGAGAAACCCTGTCTCGAAAAACCAAAAAAATAAAAAATAAATAATAAAAAATAAAAAAATTTTACATTCCTTTCTTGATCACCCATGAAAGGGAAGTACAACAGACTGCTTAAACTGCAGTCTGAGAATAGGGCAGCAGGGCGGAACACAAAGGCAGCTCTGTGGCTGCCCGAACTATCACAGGCACTGCAGCTGGTTCTGAGAGCTGCCTCCTCAGAAAGAGCTAACCAACCCAATTATCCCTGGAGAGTTCTCAGATCCCCAGTAGGCCATATTCGAGATCAGAGGACCTTGGCTCTTCCCTCTCAGACAGTCCAGAATTACTTCAAGGGATTTTTAGGTTGCCATCACTATTCGAGATGCCAGGGAAACTGGTGAAATTTCCAACCAGTCAACTTTGTTCCTTGTTTTGAACTGAAAGCCCAAGGCAAATTTAGAAAGGATATTAGTTATCCTGAAGAAAAATTTGAGATTGAAAACAATGAAGAAATTTAGGAGTACCATGAGATGGATTTTTTTTTTGTTGTTCTTAAATCACTTTTCCAAAATAGGCATTTAAACAAACAAACAAACAAAAAAAGTAACAACAACAAAAATCAATAAAGAATCTGGAATTATCAGAAAACAATGACCTTAAAAGTTCTAGTTCATTCTCTCAAATGACTTAGTACTCTAGTTTTATAAGGGAATTCTTGCATTCCTTTGTGTAATAATCATATAATCATATAATAAAAGAGCCAGTGGTCCTGCTGTGCTCCACACAGTCAGTACCTGTTTGTAACCCTGTTCTGTGAAACTCTTAAGGACTCTTGATAAACAGAAATGAAACAGCAGGAAAACATGGCTAGGTCACCAAGTTGGCACTTTGCAGCTCTCTGCTGCAAGGCGTCGTCGGAACCTTACAAAAGACAAGAAAACTGGAATGTCTGCGTACAGAAGCCACTTAACTGCTTCTGCCAAGGGGGTCTTATAAAAATGATAGGAAGCCAGGAACAGGTCCATACCTGACAGATCCCAAACATTGAGATAGTGATGTCAGGCATAATGAAGCATTTTGGCAAGGCAAGAATGTACACTGTGAGAACCGGGTAGGACTTGACAGATTTCCTGTTTTCTGGGCTCTTTCTCAGCAAGCTAATTGTGGTGACTGAACAGCCTACTCTGAGCATTAAAGAACAGCAATTGGCTGTATGGATCCGACTGCTGCTGTCCTAGGCGATGGGAAGACAAAATGACAGAAGTGCTTACTTGCAGAAATATTCTGCACACAGTGGAACAATGAGCCAGCGAGCATTTAAATGGGTAAGAGGGGTGCTCTGCAGACATACTGGAGAGACAGGCTGGAAAAGGAAAGGGCTCAACACACAAACAACTGTGCATGCATGTATATCTTCAGGGCCTGAGTGACACTGCCACACTGCCACCAGGCATGCTTTCCCCCAGAATAGACGCACGCACCTTCACAGCTATAGCTGTACACTGCCACGGCTGATCTGTCCACCAGGTTCTCATCGTGATGCCAGCTCACCGCCATTTTCCCCATGCCGAAATAAGGCTCCTCTTTCAGGTAGGGCATTTTCTGGGGATCCATGAAGTTTAGTAAAGTCACGTTGTAGGCTGCTCTGCTCTTAATGTCCACTTCATCATCACAGGATGACCCCATGCCAACCCTTGGGAACTCTGCCATGCACAAAGGCACAGCATCTTCATTAGCCTTCTCTTTGACAGCCAGTTCTTCCAAGGCCTGGATGGTCTCACCCTGCAGGTAGTCATTGAGCTTGAGGAAGGTCTGACATGCAGCAGCGATCTCAGCCTCTGTGTAATTGATGGTGCAGCCCTTCACTGGCCAGGGCACTGTGAAGAGTCTGGTGTTCAGGTACTTGTAGGTACAGCCTGGGTCCCCGATGAGGATTCGAGACACTGGGGTGAGCACATCTTTGCCTTGGATCCTAACCAGGTCCCGAAACAAGCAGCCATGCTTATGCAGTGTGAGGAAGGCCTCAGGGACCTCTTTATGCAGCTCCTCGGATATACTGCCGGCTTCCCGGAGAACCAGTTTAGGATATTTCAGCTGCCACTAAAACGAAAGCAAAGGGAGAAATGGGTATGGATGGCTATCATCTTATTATTTCCAAAAGTCTGTTTTCCTTCTAAGAGTCCAGGGAGAAACTAAACTAGCTAGTGGTGTTTCCATGTAGGGTTCATATCTTGCCAATCTAAAAAAAAAAAAAAAAAAACCTACACAAAACTGACAGGAGACTCTCCGATGAGCACTGTCAGGTTGATGCTATAACTACTAATAATCAACGCAAACAAAAAATGAGAATAATTTGGCCTTTGAATTCCCAGGCTTCCTGTGCTCACACTGCCCCACCTTCAATCTCTTTTGCATCCTTTTACTTTACAGAAAATATGATTTTATTCACGAACCAATTATTGCCTACTGACAAGAGTTTTTTAATCCATGCCAGGTGTCATTCTGACTCACCCAAACTGGCTAATTTCTCATGCCTTTACACATACTATCAGCTCCAGTTTACAGATACAACACTGAAGCAGCCAGGCACTGTGAAAGCATGCCCCTTGTCAGGCCAGGATGTAAGCCTCTGGGCTGCAGTGTCTGGCTGGCTCCAGTGAGGGTGATCTTAACTATCTGAATGAACCCCTTTCAATTACTGGCAAACTGGCTTCTGGTTCAAGACACTCACCTAAAGAAAACTCACCTCTCTGGAAGCAAATACACTGAGTTCTATAAACACACGAGCCATGACAATTTGATTCATGACTATAATACTAGTGCCCAGAATAGTCTGCAAAAGGCAGTTCAACTGGTGTCATGGGAATGGGCTATTCAGACAGATCGCATCCTAATAAAGAAACACACACTGATGCTGCTCAGGGTTGGATTGGCTTTCCTGGCTCAGGATTTACGCTTGCCCCTATAAAGTTTAATCTGACTTGTTTCCTCAGTTTCAGGATGAGTCCTCAAGGAAAAGCCTAGGGATAGCAACCTACTCAATATCCTAAGACCACTGTACTGTTCAGGCCTTCATGCATGGAGAGTTAACATGCTCATTCCTGTGGGTATGTGCATGTGTACAGCAGATACATGTGCAACTGTGTGCAACTGTGTGCATAAGCCAGAGATCAAGGTCAGGTATCTTCCTTAATCACTCAATGACAGGATCTCTCACTGATTGGCTAAGCTGGCTGGCCAGTGAGCTAGAGGGATGGACTTGTCTCCACCTCCCCAGAATTAGGATGACAGTTGTGCAATGGCTCCTGGCTTTCTACAGGGGTACTAGGGATCCAACCTCAGGTCCTCAGGCAACAAGCTGTTTGCTACTATAGCATAATCTAGTGCATTCTGGCTCATTTACAGCACTGAGAGGGGGCAATCCTGCATAGGAAGTATACAAAAGAAAAACAAATTCATCAAATCTGAATGTGAGAAAAAGAATTCACTAAATAAGGAGAGTCTGCCTGTGCTGCTCTCAGAAGCCTATGTGCTATTAGATCATGGATGCAATATGAACATACAAGTGGCGTTCTATGTATGATCATGGATGTAACATGGAAGTACATGTGGTGTACTGCTGTGTATGATCATAGATGTAACGGGAAAGGGCAGGAGCATGTGGCGTACTGCTGTGTATGATCATAGATGTAACAGGAAAGGGCAGGAGCATGTGGCATATTGCATGTGGCACACTGTTGTACACTGTCAGAGACCCACCCAGAACTTAGTGTCTCTACTTCATTTATCCCAACTGCAAAATGGAGACAGCAATACCACACTTTTTATCAACACAGCCCGGGAAGACAATCCTGTAAGCAATACAATCTTGTAAGCAGAGAACATCATGGAACCATATCTTGTCTCAAAACAAGGAGAAGAGAAAGAAGGGGAAGGAAGGATGGGAAAATAAACTTCTATAATTATCATTATGTTTATACAACTAACAACCGATCATTTACTTATGCAAGATCTATTTTGTTGTATTCATATTACAGATAGAGTGTATCAAAGACATTTTTAAAGGATTAGTGGATTTGGAAGAATGTTTTCAAAATGTTTGTACAAATGAAGCATACAATTAATAATCAAGCTCTAATTGAAAAATATTTATAACCTATATAATAAAAATAGGATTAAAAAATTTTTTAATAAGAGGCCACTATGATTTCAGAAATATGTGTAATAATATATATTATGTATATGACACATGTGTGTTATACACATTACACATACACACACAGTAACAATTAAAAAGCGGCCATACATTTAAAAGAGAGCAAAGGTAGGTGGTGCGCTGGAGGATTTGCAGGGAGAAAAGAGAAGGGAAAACAATGTAATATAGTCTTTAAAAAAATAAAAAAATTGAGAAATAAAGCTTGCAGAGCTTTGAGGTTATTATTTTTTTTAAAAAAATTTTGAAAAGACATAAATACTAAAAAACAAACTGGAGAAAAATGGGGTTAGAAGTTGAAAGCACTAGCTTCTGGGTATGCACTTTGTATATTTTAATTTTCAGCCTTTAACATTTATTTTCTAAAATAGATGTAAACTATTTTGAATAAAAAAATCAAGGAAAAGATTATTTTAATATATTTTTCATAGTAAGACTTAAATTTGCCAGAAAATTATTCTTGATGTAATGATAAAATGATACAGAATCGTCAACCATCCTCACCAAAATTTCTACCTTATTTAAATTTGGTGTGTCTGTTACACCAAGGATTACTTTTTTATGATGAGAACAATTAATGATAGTAGGCTAATTCTGACGCAGTCTCAAAGATGAATGGGAGAAAATGCCTTCCCGATGTGTCCCCTGTCCTCGTCTACTATTTAGACAGTAGTTAATCTAGTACCTGACGCACAGAACAGCTACGGACATTAGTTATGAATTGTCTTAGAAAGAACAGCAAGTAACTTTGGAGAAGAGACAACATTAAATAATCTGAGTTCATCCTGTCAGGCGAGCAAGTTCACTTTCCGTTTAGACAGGTATATGAGGAACATCAGATAGCACACAGTAATTTGGAACAGCTGTTGGCAGACTTTCAAATATGTTAGTGTAATTTTTTTTACTAATCCTGTTTTTCTAGGGAGTGTACAATCACGAAATCATATTATCACTGGTTTGGTTGCACACTATATTTCTTGAAATTTGCGAATACTTCTAGGGCATAAAAGATGATGTTTAGTTTAGTATTTGGAATGGTATGGTAGCCATAATGTGCCAACATGCAGGCCCTATCCAATGGCTCAGGAGATCTGCAACACCAGGTCTTCAGAGGTGAGGCTTTGGCTTTGCCAATTCTAATGAACTACATACAAATTCTATATTTTCCTCTTCTACCAAGGGATGGTCTGAAATGATTTCATCATTCAGAGAAGACAGGCATGGCGCTGAATGAGTGAGATACTCATTTACAGGAAGCAAATCCAAATGAGGCCCAATATAACTCTATCTTCAATTAGGAGAACAGAATTTACTACCTGTAAGGAGCCTGGGACATGCCTCCACCTGACAATGTCAGTGGCCCAGTCTAAAGAGAATCCATCTATAACCTGCTGTCTCATTCTTTGCTCTAACACTTCATGCTTTGCACTCTGGAGCATTCTGCATGCTGTCCTTCATAATATTTTCTACATCATTTTTATTGAAAATACTTGCAACTTGGCAACAATCCCAACACTAAAAGGCTACACACTCAGTTGGCCAGTCTCCAGCTGTTGGATGCCAAGCGGGACCCAGAGGAAGCACACTTCTGAAGACCTATGTAGAACCTGCTATAGCTGTCACAGCCAGATTGGTGAAACCAGAGATCTGCTAGTGACACAGAGTTGGTTCATGCATTTGTTCACTCAACAGCTCAGGCTACTCTGCATGTTCATGTTAACATCCAACCAGCACTTGTTATGCACCAGACACTGGATAAAGTCCATAAATGTGCTGATAAAAGTCAGCTAGGTCCTCCTGATAATATCTCCTATTTTTAACCGCACAGACAGAATGGAAAGCAATGAAATAAGACATTAGACCCAGGGCAGAAGTACAAGTACACTGCTAGAGGAGGAGAGGACAGTGCGGGAGGAAAGCTTGTTAAACCCTCACTTGGGGGCTTAAAGACCAGGCAAGCACACACCATCTACAAAGTACTAAGTTCCAGGAATACAAGAGAACAAAACATCCCACTCTCTTCAAGCTTATATTCTGGCAAGGAGAGACAGATACAAATGAATAAACAGAGTAAGATGGCAATGAGTGCTTTAGAGGAACTGGGTTGCTGTAATAAGTGTGACCGTCTCACATCTCTCTAGCAAAGTGACCCGAGGACGGAAGAATGAAAGAATGAGGATGACAGCCTGCAAAGACCTGAGTGGGAGAGCTCCAGGTGAAGGGATCACAGCACAAAAGTTTTGGGGCAGGAGTGTACTTGACTCATTCCAGGAAGAGGAAGAGGAAGAGGAAGAATGCCTCTGTAAGAAGAGGATATGGGGTGAGGAGCCAGGAGAGCAGGAATTCAGTGAGGGAACAGTGAGGAGCTGGAGAACATGGTACTTTATATGTCAATGTCTAGTGCCAGGCTTCTAGGCTTCAACTCAGAATATTCTGGGAAGCTACCAAGCGACTCTCAGCAAGAAGGCTAATTAAAAGAAAGCACCGGGACAGGGTGGCTGGGTGGTGAGTTGGTTCAGTGGGTAAAGGCACTTGCTGCCAATCCTGATGACCCACACGGTGGAAGGAGAGAACTGACTCCCTCAAATTGTTCTCTGGCTTCCACATGTGCACCATGCCACCACACATGTGCACACACAGGCAAAATAAATTAAATGAATAAAAAAACATAAGATTTCCCCAGATGTTATGTTGAGGCCGAGGAAGAGGGAGAAGCTGGGAGGCAACTACACCAGGGATGAAGGCAGTTTTGGCCTAGGGGAAGCAGAAGAGGCAGGAAGCAGTCAAGATGATTCTTTACAAGTGGGGCTTCCAGGACATGAATAGAGTGTGCAGTATTACGAAGAACACGTTTCTTAGGGGGAATAGATGGCTTCCAGACAGTATC